TGACTCACCTTAGCAAAGGTAACTAGAATTCAACAATGATAGTAGTAGAGAGCAAATTCAAATTTTCAGATTCCAAGGCAAAGTTATTTAACTAGTCAGGTAATGGTAATTATATGACATGTAAACAGCAAAGCCAAAACAGTACGAAACCCCCTCCCCGCACAAAACACCTAACACATCCCCCCCCTCCAAGAAAAACCCAAAACAATCTCACCACAAACTCTGCTAGCCAAACTAGTCAAATATTAATGAACAAAGCCCCACTACTGAAGCAAAAAGCAATTCACTGCTAATCAGTCACAGCAAAAAATGAAACAGACGAAAGGGTGAGAAAACGCTCAGGACAGATTATGAGCTGTAGCCCTAACAAGATCTTACATAGTGAACAAAGACATAACATTTTCTAAAACTGTATTTTTTTTAAGTTATTGCTTTGAACAAAGGCAGACAGCTGTAGAATGCACTTCCTTTTGAAGCTATGTGTTCAGTTTCCTTTCATTTTTGGGAGTCTATATGCCTGTCTCAAACATAAACAAGCAGATACTTGTAAACTTACAATATATAGCTGGGAAATTCCATATTCTTTCAATAATCCTAATCATGCACTTCATATATGGATGTACCTAGTCCTATCTAGACATGTATGGCACATGTAAAAATTAGAGGGACTGTGTAAAACTTAATTTTTGTCTTTTGGGTACTGCTACTATTATTATAATAGTGCCACTGGTCTTTTTTGTTTGTTTTAATTCTAAATTAAATTTCATTAATGATATTCTGCTGACATATGTATACTTGAAGACAGGGCACCACCAACATTATGTAGGTTTTTAGTGTATTACTAGTAATATTTTTATTCAGGAATAATATATTAAGATACTGTATTATTATTTTGTTTAAGAAATAAACTAAGAATTGTTAAAGAAGAAATTCCTACAATACAGGACCACAGAAAATCTTAGAATTAGAGTTTCCAGGAGCCTCTTCTATAATTTGTTCTCTTATAAGAACAGCCATCATTCCTTCTATGTTCATAAAAAAAACCCTGCTATAAATTCTACCACTTCTGTGTAGACACCTCAACTAAAGCCACATTTTGTTAAAAAGCTGAAAGATGCTGTTGCTTTCCATATGTTTAAAGACTTCCCCCCCCGGAAGAAGAGTAATTTTTCCCTGTACCCCAGAGAGACTGAAGAGAAATTAATCCAACACACTTTGTAAGGAAAATCAAACAGATAAAAGAATAAAACATGCTATGTGCTTAAGGAAGACACAGTCCCTTCTCACTGCTACCCTCTAAAGCCAACAGACCTTTCAGAAGAGGTCTTCCTCTTTAGGGAATGTACTGGCGTTATGTCTACAACTAAAAACTACATTTCCAGAACTGTTGAGCAAAGAAATGCACTCAGAGCAACTGCCAATGGCTATTAAGGACGGAGTGGTCAGTGAAAACAGTTTCAGTCGTGGCATTAGTGCCTCACTCTGCAGCGGGTGCTTTGGTGACTCCTCGTTTCCTCTGCATACTATTTTGAACTGTAAATAAAGGACAGACTGAGCAGTCACGAATTATCAACGTTCTTCTTAATTTTTAAAAGCTGCCCGATTTCCAGTACGTGTTTAGACACGCCTGGGAGAGTGATCCTGCTACTTAGATAAAACTGTTAACATCGGGAAAACAGTAACAAGACTCACATTTTTATCTGAGAAACAATAAATGAATTCAGAGGTGGGAGGGCGAGCGTTACACTTCGTCCCAGAAAGGCTGCCCAGGACGGCGCTGCCGGCCCCGGGAGCGGCGCCGCTGCCACCG